GTGCTTGCCCGGTGGGCGTTCAGTACAATATTCGTGTCTCGGGACACCCACCACGTTCGCGCGCGGGACATGGACTACGCTGCGCAGAGCCACCTGCCAAGCGACGCCTACATGCAGCTGCACTTTGTTGGGGGAGAGGCGGAGGCGGAGGACACCGCGTACGCTGAGCAGCTGACACGGCGCATCGACCAGTCTCCCAGGCGGCAGATGGCGCTGCTGCGGCCCGGGCCCTTGTCGCCGCCGGACCGCCGCCGCGACGTCTCCAGCTGCCGCGGGGACGACGACATCGTGGGCGGCGTCTACTACCGCGCCGACGGGACGAGCCTGCACGGCTCCCACGGCCGTGGCGGCGGCGCCGAGCGCCCCTTCCTGCACGGGGTGTTGCCTCTCCGTCCCATGGAGGAGGAGGAGCGCCGCTACAGGGACGACGACGAGCTGGCGCTCTCCCTCGACCAGCCGCCGCCTGGCAAACTGCCACCGCCACCGCCACCGCCGCCCGGTAAACTGCCACCACCGCCACCTCCTCCTCCTCCACCGGCACCTTCTCAGGTTGCTTGTGTTGATGTGCCGACTGTCGCCTTGCCAGGAGAAGTGCTTAGTGCGCCTTCCAAACCCATCTATGTTGGACCCAAACTAAAGACATTTTTTTGGAAGAAAGTTCCAAGGCCTTCCGGTGTGTGGAGTTTTGTGAACGATGTTTCTGTGGAGACGATGATTGACGAGCCTTTTTTGCTGGCGATGTTTGAAGTCCGTAAGAGGGCAGCACCACTCTCGACGTCGAGCGGGGAGTCAAAAGAACCTAACAAAAAGGAACTTCGCAAGAGCAGTGCATTTAGTGCGCAGCGGCAGCAGAACATTGCCATCTTGCTAAAGCAGATGAAGTTGCCGGTGGACGAGATGTGTCGCGCTCTTATTGAGTGCGATGCTGCGGTGCTTCCATCGGAGAAGCTGGAGTTGGTTTTTGGCGCTCTTCCCACGTCGGCGGAGATGGAATTGCTCCGCATGGAAGAGGCTTCTGGGGAAGTGTGCTGGACAGAAGTTGAGGAATACGTATATACGGTGTGTGTTACCGTGGCTGACGCGCGTGAGCGCATTTCACTTTTGTTGTCGGCTGAGCAGATGGAGGAGCTTGTGGCCTTCACGGAGGAACGCCTCGACATGCTGGAGAGGGCCGTGGCGCTGCTGACGAGCAAGACCTCGAAGCTTGCGGCTGTGCTGCACGCTGTGTTGGCCCTTGGGAATTTCATGAACCGTGGCAGCGCCCACGCCGGGGCGGTCGGATTCCGCCTTGAGAGCTTGAGCCAAATGAACTTTGTCAAGGCGGTGGACGGGAGAACGACCATGTTGGAGGTGTTTGTCGTCTCGCTGATGGACCGACGACCGGATCTTTTGCAGTTTGTGGGGGAGCTAGACTGCCTTGCCCCGCTCGCCGGCACCACCGTGCAGGAGGTGGGCCGCGGCCTGTCCCAGCTCAGTCTCACCCTGCAGAAGATGCGGCGCGCCGTTGAGGAGCCGAGGCGGCCGGAGATGCAAAAGAAGCGCGCGGTGCCGTTGCCGGAGGGTGTGGTAGACGTCTTCCAGGAGCGGATGGCGCGGCACGTGCAGCAGCACCTCGCGGTCGTCGCGGAGCTCGCCCTTCGTCATCAGCGCCTGAAGGACGACGTCGCGGCAATGCTGGAAGGCTACGGGGAGGATCCCATGCTGGATGAGACTGTGCTGTGGGACTACGTCCTGCAGTTTGGCAAGGATGTAGCGAGCTTCTGCAAACGCGCGGAGATGGAAGGGATAGACAAGCGGACGTTACTGGCGGCAGTGGGACCGTCTCCCATTGACGCTGGTGCAACGACGCTAAATGGAGGGAGGACAGACGGCGGTGCTGCGGACCGGAGTGTCAATGGTCGCAGCAGCAGCAGCAGCAGCAGCAGCAACGGCAGCAGCAGTCCGCAGTGAAACGCGGGTGTGTTGAGCAACGAATTGCTGGGCTTACGCGGGGGGCACGTTGGGTCTGGCTGCGTGTCTCTTTATCTTGCAACTTTGCTTATCAATTTAATTATTTCATTGCTTCTCCACGTCTGTGGAGTGTTTGCGCCGTAGTGGCTTGGGGGCCCCCACCGTAACCCTCTCCAGCTTTGGGTCCCGGCTGCGTGTGCATGCAGGGCCGGCCCGCCTCGTCGCTGCAGTATTACATTGGCAGGTGCTTGCGCGTGTCAGACTTCTTTTTTCATTCCCCTCCCTCCCCCACACACACACACACTCTCTCACTCACGCTAGTTACCACGAGGGGACATGCAGACATGCGGGGGAATATTGCGGAGTGAACATAATAATTTATCTTAGATGGCGAATTCAACGGCACGGAACGAGGCGAGGCGTAAATTGTATGTGCGGCAGCGAGTGCGTAGAATGGAACAACAACAATTAAAATAAAAAAAAGCACAAACACACACAAAGCGCCTGTGTTGAGTCACACACACTCTCTCTCTCTCTCTCTCTCTCTTGCTCGCTCTATTGTGTGTCTGTGCGTTTGGTCGATCCTGTGCTCTTGCGTGTGTTGGTGCTTTATTTCCCTCTTCTCTCGCCCTTTGTACCGGTTGCTTCGCGGCGGCAGGATGGTGGGAGCGGCGAGGCCACACTGCGGCGCGTGCTACACACACACTCTCTCCTCCTGCGGTGCGGGTGGGCTTAGTAAAGTATGCCGAGGCATGTCGAGGCACCGGGCCCTGGAACCGGTGCGGCGGTGCGGAGCCCTGGCGGCGA